CCCCATTTCCGGCTCCTCCCCGACTTTTGGGACACCCTGTATATGCATTCTATAACATTGGTAATGGTAAAATATTAAAAGAAGTAGAGTAAGATTAATTGAGTAAAGAAGTAACGTTGGCTAAGAGATATTCCTGCATGCACTTGGTGGACAAAGGGTTTTCTATCTCTTTTTAGTCATCGTACGTTTGGAATTCTGATTCCCATACTCTATCGATGATATTTCTATAGGACTCGATCAAAAACTTAATACAAAGTAACGTTAGACTTACTGAAATAGGAATAATGTAGTCACTGTAGGTGAAAATGTTTGGATAATGACCTAATTTTTTAGAAAATTGAACGTTTCGAGTCTCTTACGGACTTTTTCAATCGATTATGCTAATGCTTTGAATGAAACAGGAGAAAAGTAAACGCAATATTAACAAACATAATCAACAAGTAGGAGTTGTTACTTTTGTGTCAATATGCAACGATGAACTACGGCAACCCTGTAACCTTACACATTTGTATAATAATGGATTTGCTCGTATGTAAATAAATAAATAAATAAACAAAAAAGTGTGACAAGCTAATTAATAAACGAAACATTGATCTGGTACCTTTGATTTTTTTTCTTTCAAAGCTGCAATTTCTGCGTAATTCACCCTCGACAATGTAGCAACGAAACTATTTGAAATGCAACCTTTAATGAGAAATATCGTTGTCTCCACCTAGCGGCGCGAGTCCTCACTTCTCGTTGCTCGTTCGTTGGAAATTGACGTGGTAAGAGTGAGTCTTATTTCTGAGGGTGCGAAATTATGCCAAATGTACTAGTCTTGCATTTCTTTGTTCTTTGCATTCATGTAATTTTTGCTTTATATTACGTTGCATTTGCATTTACTTAAATACCTTTATAATTTTTCCATTAAGGATACCAGTAATTGGGGTCCACTGCGCCCCCCCATAGCTCGGGTTCCTCGGGGTTGCTGAGCCCGTACTGTAACTATAATCAAACATATAGTTACAAACCCTGAGGGCATTGATAAGATCCTGACTATTTCTCAACGAATTAGTTATCTATTTCTTATCTATTTCTATCTCGCGGTCTTTTTTCTCCACTCAGTGCCAATTGATATTATGATTCTCTAAGTTAAATTACAATCTTTCGTGTTCTTTTTTTTTTTTTTAATTAGATAGGTTCTTTACATTTCAGAAAATCTCTGAAATGACTGCAACAAAAAGGAAACATATTTTCGTACATCCTATTCAGATATCTCTATAAGCAAGTAATACAGAAGAAGAACTCTAACTATAGAATTTTTTAATTATATTTATTATCCATTATATAGGAAGGTTATTTATATTGGAGTTTAAGTGCTTAATTAGGTAGGAATAATTAGTATGGAACAACAAAGCAGAGAAATAGAGAATGATTTATATTGATAAATTGATTTTCCCCTTCTCCCTTTATTGTTAAAGATATACTATGTTGTAATAGGCATGCAACAGTTGATAGTTTTACTAACAATGTAAACTAGATAGATTATTGCACGAGAACCTTGTCACGCGATGTTGATATGTCGGGGTGTGGTAAATGAACAATAGGTAGTTCCTTCATTGAACCAAGTACAATATGTGTTATGGCAGCTAGTCAAAATCATAATCACATAAAATTACTCCAATTACTTTATTAACATTATATACGATCTATCAAATATTTATATACGGTTGTAATATTAATGCGAACGTAATTTGTCGTCATCTTTTTGTTCTTATATTAAGCTATTAGTCATTTAAAAGTTACAAGACAATTAAAATTATTTCGCGTGTTATTTTGCATGTACATAAAGTATATATGTATATCAGAATACCATGAATCGTATAAAAAGTTCCTCTCTGAATTATTTCGTGACACTGCATAACTGAAATTAATTATCTACATAAATTACAAAGACGTGTTATTTGAATAAAGTTTATAACGCGTTATTCGACAAAGCTTACGTGAATACAAACTATCGTCTTAGATAATTCATGATTACAGTGGGACTTATTGAATTGCAACTAGTAATCGCTTTTAAATACCGCCGATGACTCCACGTACAATTTATTCTCTTTTAAATTAGATATTGGGCTATAAATTGTTATAATTGATATCAATCAACAGTGTCGTCGGTATTAAACGAATAGAATAAATATTAAAAATATCATTTTAATATCGACGACACTTGAATAGCGTAGAATATGCATAGGTTAGAAGTATGATAATTATTGATACACATCACCGTCTGTATGATGTACCTATACGTGTGTCGTTTGATTAAGAATACGCTTCATTTGCATAACAATAATTCTACAGAAAACGCGTTTTAATATGAAAGAATTGTGTTAGTATAGTGTTGCATTGGGGTCAATTTATGCTTAGAGTACAACGGGAGAGAGCAAGGTTAGCCGATATACTGCAATTTTTAATAACATAGAAGTACAATATCAATTATGTAACATATTTGTACATTGAAAAATTAGACGTACCTCACGATCTACACGCTATACCGATTAAACGAAATAGTAATTTACGCAATATTTCACTGTGTGATATTGTTTGAAGATATATTAAATTTAAAAGAAATAGTTGGATTAAGTTGGGCTGACCTATACAGTTATAATTGTTAAAAATATTCGTGGTTACAGATTGTGAATATATCTTAATATATTCCTTGGTCGCTGTAATTTCTTACTTCGTTACGCTACCTCGTTTCTCCTTTATAAATACTCTAAGCCCTTATAAATTGCTTCCTTCTTATAGTTATTATTTTGGTGGTCTATCTTGATCTGCGAAATATTTAGTTGCATTGGGGAAACGTACGGGGTCTGGAAAATCTGGGGTTTCGTATCTACGTGGGTTCAAGCATTCCCTGATAGCCTGACCAAACGCGCGTCTAACACCGGGATCTACGGCTACAGCGACAGCAGCACCGTCAACTTCTTCGACACCCGCTCGAGTTACACCTTCTCGAACTAAACGTTCCATAGACGCTGCTACTACCGAATGATTGGGGGTAGGGCTGACTAATAACTGTGGTTTCTGTTGCTCGTAAAGTTTACGCCGCTTGATAGGCAGTGTACCTATATAGGCATCGCTAAATGTTGCTACTCCACCATTCGCCATTTCCTGCGTTTGCACTTGGCGACGTTGCCTTACTCCATCTTGAGCAATTATTGGTACCCAATCCTAAAACAAAACCAATTTTTATGTGCTTGTTTTTTACGATATAAATATCTATAAGAATAAATAAATAAATATCTATAAATTTACCGAAGGTAATATTGCTTGACCAGGAAATCTTTCTGGAATTTCTTCACTGTCATCGAGCGCAGATGCTTCAGAATTTGTTCTCTCTTCAATAATTTCAGTCTCCATATGCTGAAACGATACAAGGTTGTTCGATTTATTTCATTTTTGATCTGCGTAAACAATAACATGTATAACTAACCTCCACTTCAGATTGTGTTTGCGAACGTTGATGCGCAGGGGCCGAAGGCAACGTTGTTGGTGGGGTGGTGGTTTCATTCTTGTATATTAAAAGTGGAGGAGTTCGCCGTTCCGGGAATCGAATCATAATGTTCCAACGGGATAGAAATACTGCCTTAATCCATCGACGCAGCACAGGATCACAGAGCTCTAATATTTTACTCAAAAAATGTGATATAATCTCCAGCGCAGGTCCAAAACCAATGACATATTGAAGTACACCGAGTGACTTCTTTAAAAATCTAAGAAGAACTTCGCGCGTTTCTTCCCCGAATCTTTCATCGTCGATATCAGAATCGAAAATAAATGACAGAAAGTATTTTATATAACGGCGAAGCAAAGCTTCTATGGTTGCGTTAATATCGATACGCGAACCATTTCTAGTACGAAATGGCACCGTTTCTTCTTGTGGTAAGAAACTTTGTATATGTGGTCTTAGGTTTGGTAACAGTCGTTCTGTGACTTGTTCGTGAAGTGTTTCTGTTGTAGTATTTGGAAAATTATTTTGAAAGAATTCTTGTAATGCCAATCTTTGACGAACAATTGGTTCCAAACTGTCAACTGGTAATCTTGATAGATCTCGTATACTCATATTATCTGAGATTACTGAAATCAAATTTATGAAAAAATTCTCTTCGTTTTCTGGATTCTGCGACGTGAAAAATGGCGTGGAGTTATGTACAGATTCTGGAATTCTGAATCTCATAGTCGTGTTAGCCAAACTTCGAGCCATCTGGCTAGCCCTTGCATCGTCTCCGAGTATACGACGGTTATTAATGTCAAAACCGATGTTACCTAACGGCTGACCTGAAGACCGTAACAGTTGTCGGATTAAATTCCTAGCAGGACGCTCTTGCGATGATATTAAAACTGTGGTATTCGTAGGGCTAGTGTTATTAGTCGTAGTTGAGGTTGTTGCTGTTTGCGGTTGAGACTGAGTTTCGGGCGTAGATGTTCGAGCTGTTCGGGTTCCTTGCGGCGTAGAAGTGACAGTACTAGAAGTTGTGGTCGACGTTCGACGGACATGATGTGAATTGCAAGGAAGAAATGGATCAAAGTCAAGTCCTTGGCCTATACTCATACCAACACCTAAAGAATGCGCCTGTTGATGGAATACATGCGGACGCGAGGTACTCCTGGTTTGCGTTGCTGTAGTAGGATGTGTACCAACGTTGCTTCGTGCTTGCGTACTTTGTCCAGCGTTTGTATTCCCATCAAGTGATGAAGTAACTGTCTGTTGTCCTCCAGTTGGAGGATTCTGGGTTGTAATTGTTGTAGAAGTAATACCACCTTGTACCATGTAACCAGCAGCTTGCATTAAGTTACGTATAAAATCTGGGGGTGGAGCTGAACCCCATGTGAATGAACCGATAGTACCACCTACTCTTCCGCCATTATTGTTATTGTTATTATTATTATTTTCCCCAGTTGGAGGTTGTTCATTTCCTGGTGGAGCGTCCATATTATTTTCAGGACTAACCTCCATTAATACTTCCACGTTATTTGGTAGATTGAAGACTGTACCAAATGGAGATTGCGTTTGTTCTTGCTGTTGCTCAGTTTGTTGAGAAGCAGCTTCGTGTCCCGGTTGCTGATTAGTTTCCTCGGTAGTAGCTTCGTTTGATTCTGATTGTGGAACCGTATTTGCTGAATCAGCGTTCTCTTCGCCACCATTATTGTTATTCGCATTTCGGCCGTGCAAACTAATATGTGCCTAGAAGAAATACGCTATAAAATGATTTCACTACACAAACAAAATTTAAATACCGTGGTTGCTAATCCTTACCTCTACCTGTATTGGTATACCGGGCTGTAAAATAGCCGAGTGTTGAATAATAATTGGTCTACATCGCAAATTTCTAGGTGGTTGCTGGGTCATATCAACAATAATATCGCTTAATGCATGACAAGCATGAGATATGTAGTGTAAGCTTTGGCTTACACCATCCACTATTCTCTGACTTTCTTCCACACCTCCTGCCTAGATGTTAATGATTTTTTTTATTTCAAGTGGTTCTAAAAATAAATTGATTTATACCTGCATTGCATATTAAAAAACATGTACTTACTCCTCGAGGTAAAGAACGGTCGGCAACCATAAGTTGTCGATAATGTTCTATATATGGTCGCAAACTATCTTGGGCATTCAGTAATAGTTCCAATAATTCTGCCATTTGTGGAGGTCGTGGAAGTCTAAAATTAATACATGCATGAATTATGTAACATTATCTTATATTACAAGCTATCTGATAAGCATAAAGCGATCATTACGTGGATTGCCTGGTAGATTGCGCATCGTTATTCGACGTGGATCCTTGTTGTTCAGATTGCGATGGTTGTGGTGGTTGTTGAGCATCTGATTGATTATCATCATTAGCCTCGCTAAGTGGGACTGTTTCAACGCCGTCATCAAAATTTCCTATTCGATAATTTATAATTGTATATAAAAATATGTAGAGATACATTTACATATCTCTGTTCGTACATTTTATGCACTTTTTATTATGTATACAAACCTCTAACTAATGTGACATTGTTTGCTCCAGCTGTAGACAAAGCAGCTGCAATCGCAGCTACTGTAGCTTCTGTTATTCTGGTACCACTAATTGTTCTATCTTCATTGTTACTGAAAAGGACAAACAGTTTATCAATTTACATTCGTTTTAGAAAAATATGTTATATTTCGTAAAACGTTCTTGACTAAAACTGAATTTTCCGTTTTCTTCGTATCTTTAAAGAAATATTAAATCTAGCTTCTTTACTTACAGTTGTTCTCCATCTAATTGTTGAACTTGCACTTGTGGAGTTATTGGTGGTTGGTTATTTTCAACTGTAGTGGGGTTAAGGGGACAATCAGGATCATCAAGTCTTTCTATAAGTGCATTTGCACGTTGAAGCATTCGTCTTGCCAAATTTAAACGACTGCTAGATAAACTATTGCTCAACTGAGGTACTGCCAATCCTATAGAAAACAATAAATCAGGCATATTAGAAAAAAAACTTTCAAAAATATAGATGATATCATACAATAATTAATTACTATACCATGCCCTTCAACAATTTCTGCTGGCACTGCCATTGCACCCAAATACATAGCATTGCCATACATTTGATCATGAATAACTCGAGAGAGTGATCTTTGAAGATTTGGCAAGTATGCTTGAAGATTTTCAAAACCATGATCATTTCCTTGTTGACCTGGTTGAGGTGGTGCACGTTGCACCAAATGTATAACTTTTCCATTAACATCTAAATTATAAATATTTAACTTATTACACAGTTTCAAATGTATATTGTGAATGATTAAGAAACATTTTCGTACCATAATCATTTAACTTTTTGTCATCTTGAAGAACTCTACCACAATAAATAAGTCTTTGTGAATCTGCTGGTACTGATACTGACTCTGCTATATGTTCTTTGAAGCCTCTTACTGTAATTTGCTTTAAAAAGAAATGCAATGAAAATTTTTTTATTTATAATCATTAGTAGTCTGCTATATGTAAATAATTTATTAATAACAAATCAATATCAAACAATTTCATCTTGTTTCTTATGCCTTATACTACTACCCATAATGTTTCCTACTAACTATCATTATTGCATCATATGTTTATACTTTAAGTATCTATATTCGATAGAAAGTTCTGTCCATTTATTCTAATATCTTGTATCAAAATTAAACTTTGTTACACAAATGGTTACATTTAAATACAAGGTTCTTCAAGTAGTTATAACATTGTATCTTTAGCCAGGCTTCTTATAATTATATTCTTATTTAATGCAGATTCCTTTTAGAAACAGGATTATTTGTATTGAAAATTTATTATAAAAATGGTGTACTTTTGCATAAAACTTCATTGTTTTGTGTGTAATCATCTTATGTGTAAGCGTGAATATTTTAAAAATACAAATGTTAATTAAAAAGGAAAGTCACAGTGGGAAGAGGAAATGGTAAGACAATAGCAATTTATTTGACAGTATATAATTTTTATATATTTACATGCAAATTAAAGGATCAAATGGATATAATAATTCATGTCATACTACAATAATCATTACATACATGTAAAGTGTATTGATGAGGATTAAAACATAAAGATCAAAAACATATGAAATGTTTTGCTTGGGAGAACTCTAAATACCTATGAATTTATTTAATATATGTTATTTTACATTTCAAAAGGATTCCAGAGACAGGAGTTATGTGCAAATCTAATATTAAAACAATAATCTAATTACAAAAGTAAAATGGAGAAAGTGTTGTAACATTATACAAGATTGCGAATATGTCAAATACATAAATATGTTTGTTTAATTGTAGATATTGGAATCATTAAGGAATAAACTGCAAGACTGCCATACTGTACACATCTAACGATAATATACGAGTATTGCAAATGATTCGTCAATACGGAACGTGCTATATTGGAAGCCAATGGTTTCTAAAATACACAGTATAAGATATGCGATTAAAAATAGTAATATCAATTGGTGAGACGCCATCGAGAGTATTGTAGGAAATAACGTCGTTGAACTGGTAAATATGTAGAATAAGGATTTGTTGTCCGAAAAAAGAGAAAAAAAATACTTACGTCGTCTTCCAATGAAAAAGCATGGTTTTGCGAATCCAAAGTCTTTACCGTGAGGTCAATCATCGTGGATTGGCCTTAAATGGCACGGCACAGCTAAAATCACAGGAAAACGAGGAATAGTATTAAAACGGGAGGAGGTGCGTAATACGGAATCGTCTTGCTACACTCACGCAAGCACGCAGGTACAAGACTGCAAACGACACTCGGTTATCAACGAGCTAAATAGTAAAGCAAGAGAAATGCACGACGCTAGAACGCACGAAAATATTTGATTTGAACGCGAATTTGTCCGACGATATGAAGAAATTACGTAATAAAATTCTATCGCTCCGACTTTATCGTTGTAATCGTATTTTGTAATGAACCCACCGATGAAATTTTACAAGCGACAGCCGACACGACAAACGTTATTTTACCCAGAATTCTCGCTTTATCCGCGACACTACAGCCAGTGCCAACTCATCGACGAAATTATTCCCTAAACGGAACAAGACCATGGATAAAATGTAAGATAGATTCGTAAATTGAACGAGATTTATATTTCACGAACTGGATTATGATGTTGGTGTTGATGTTTGTTGTTTGTTGATGTTGATGTTTGTTTGTTATTTATTAAAATAACAAAATAAAATACATACTTTAGACACATGTTTGTCTGTAAGCTGAAACCGATAGAAAAGAAATTACATTATTCGATATCATTCAGTTGCTATCAAATGTTGTCACAAGTTTATAATTTGAAGAGAGAAACAAACAGAGCTGTATTAGTCTGCTTCATCGTCATGTAATATCTGCGATGTCGAAGTTCTTGCTATGTCCATTAGATGGCGTTACTGAACAAACAAACGACGAAAGATAAATCGATAATTAGAATTCATTAATTTGAAGTAGCGAATTAAAATAATTATTAGTTAATTGATCGTATATGAAAAAATGTATGTGTACGTAGAACACATATTTTAATATGGAAAGAACATTTTCTTTTTATGTTTTATTTATCTTGTTTTCACGTGCGAAGGTGACTTTAAATAGGTGGGAATCTTTGAATATATTTGAAAATTTAAATTATTCGATCTGTATTCACTCGCAGTCAATTGTATGTCGCGTCAAATACGTTATTGATTCGATCCTTGAATCAATAATTGAATTATTTCATCAATTATTTCGTTATCCAAAATTAATTTCAACACAAGTCGCTAAATTGGACCACACCGAGATAAGAATAATTGTTATTTCATTATGTGCAACTAATTGTGTAACAGTCAATTCCGATATGTGTAATCCGTACGTGACAGATCGCATGAGTGGTTATGAAATGACGATGTTATCAATAGAGTGCCTTCGCGGAATTGGTGTGGCGTGAAGCTTCTAATTTCTTTAAATGATATAATAATATTTATATTGTTTTTTGTATAAATGCATGTATCTTAGATGTATTTAGTAAATGTTCTTCATATTCCAGAGGAATGCATGAACTCAACAAATTTCAATTATCATTCCTGATGGGTGACTAATGTTTCATTATTCAGCTGCTATTCAAACGAGTCATCAAAGACGCGATAGTTATTGATTGGAGGTGGGAATGATCGTGCTGTTATATCAAGGGAGAAATCTGTCGTTCTATCGAGGGCTTGTTATATATGTATATACATATGTATACATATATGAGATATATTATATTTTATGTAGAAGTCTAAACGAAAAACAATAAGGCATAAAGATTCGAACCCACGATCCTCGGATCCACAGTCGACCGCTTTACCTACGCTAGTCCTCTACCCTACGATTCGTGTTGTTGTTTGTCTCATTCTTAGGTATGGGAGCCGCGGATACTACATTGAATTCTAGAGTATACGAGTTACGTAAACATATGGTATTCGTATGTCCCGAGACATTATTATACTATTCACACGATGATGATATTCAAATAATATTCGAATCTAAATTTTAAATCTCTGTCAACATTGAGCAGTATATAAAGGTTAAGACGAGCGAAGAAAAGATCGATATCGCTATATCGTCGTTGTATTTTGTATCGACAGAGTCTTGCAAGGAATATTTGCAAAATTCTTACTGAATGCAGGTTGAAGAAATATTGTTATCAGAAAAAATGCGACACCCCCGTTTGTTTTTAATTTCTCCATGTTTCGAGCTATAGTAGTTCAGTCTCAAGAGCAGTCACTATTACATTTATCGAAGAATGAAAATGATAATCTTAGTCAATAGGAACGACGTAGTTCTAATCTCACTCATTAAGTCGAAATCACTTTACGGTAAATGTTGACTTGTTTATTGACATCGGCGATGCTTATTCCTAAAGAGGATTATAATAGACTTTATAGCCAAATGTAAATAAGAAATAAAAGAAACTTAAAAGTGGAACACAGTTGAATACACTTTCATTCGTTCTAATATTTTTACAAGAGAGAGTAATCTCATGTTAATAGTATTGAAAGTTTCAGTCAGAAGCATTAACTGTTAACAGATTGACCGTCAACAATAAACGCCATCAGTATCTTACAATTGATCACCGGATGCTATATACGAGTAAACAATAAATCCTGACGGTTCGAAAAAAGGACTCTTTAACATAAAACAAATACCAACTTATTATCCAAATACAAAAGTACGAAATTTGATCCAGAAAGTCTGCGAGCAAACAGACCCATTAAAAGCGAGAAAATCGACCATCCCCACGATCGGCCGCGTTAATACTACTACCGCACTGATACCCACTAACACCGTGAAAGTTCTGCAAGAACGTTGCCAGCTTTTTTTCGATTTCGGTATCGAGGCGAGGTCGAAGAGCGACAAACATCGAGAGATTCGATAATCGCCGAGCGTGGCAGCGGAGTCGCGGAATCGACGTTACTTTCTGGTAGATGACGTCGATGATTTGAGGCGGTACCGTCGCGAGGACGTCGAAATCCAAGCAATCTACCCATGGAGATCGCGTGATCCACGAGAAGATGAAGAAGAGAAACGGGAGAAGACTCATGGCAGGCCGATCGCATTATTCATATTAGGGCATCGACTGAGCCACGCGGGTATGCGAGTACACGCGTTCCTTTGTATGCGTATGCACGTGTACGTACTTATATCGGTAGAAGATAATGCGGCCGATCGTGGACTGCAGAAGAATGTTAATGGCGCTTCAGTTTTGTATGCAGGAAGTGACGGCGCGTCCCGTCTCGTACCGTAGCGGGTCCCGGCGCTCCGGCGTCCGAGCAGAAAAAGGCCCAATAAGACCGATAGAACTGAAAAACCAAGAGATTCACCCGTGGCCGTGTCGGACGAAGATAAGAGAGATGCTTCTTTAAATCCCATCGTAAACACACACAGCCAGGGGTTCTCAACGTTTCTCAAAAATCTCGACGCTGTGTGCCCAGGCTACCGTTCCTCGTTTACATGAGAATAAGGAGACGGATAATTAGTTTATCGACGAGGTTAGTGCATAGAGATGTCGAGTTCGTTCGATTTACGGCGATCGTCGTCTATCCGCTGTTCGGATGGTTATTAACTCGACGAGGACTCTTACAAACGCGGAATCATAAATTTCTCCACAGAAAAGGGGTGGAGATGGATAATATATTAGGTTGTCTCGAAAGTTTCTTTCGCGAGTTGCACTCAATTATTTTATGCGGTCGTGTCTATATAAATAGATAATCTAATTTCAGAGATATTCATGTTGTAACAGTAATGGAGAAAAATGAATCGTGCACAGTTCAGTAATGTTACATAAAACATAGAATATCGTGCATGTATTACTTATTAATAAAGCGAAAGAAACTTTTCGGACAACCTAATACTATAGCGTATGATAAAATTGGTGAAATATATTTGAAGAATACATATCGTAACATGAAATATAAAAATAGTTGGATAGACAGAGCATCTCCTTTCCTTCTTCAAAATGAATGGACACGCATTCGTGTTGAAAACACATCGTAGAAACGCGACCAATGAAATTTGGGCACACTTTAGCTCGTCGCTTCTTTCTCGAACCCTTCTGGTATCAGTGTAACGCCAGAAAAAGTAAGGTTTACACGTTGGCCATATGGGGCAAGAAGTAGAGGCGCCAGTCGGAGTTGCAGCTTCGTAATGATGTAGCTATCTCGATTTAGCATGCCTCGCAGTCTTGTCCGTTAGTAGGTACTTAACTTACTTTAGCGGCGCGAGCTTTACCGCTCTTCGCAATAACGACAGGACGAACAAGTAAAAGAAAGAAAACGGAGCGCTAAGAATGCGAAACATACGAGGACAGTCGCAGAAAGGAAATGAATAAGACGGACGACAGTATCGTCGTCAGGATGATCGTTCGTAGTGTGTACACGAGAAAGTGTTTATCTCGATTGATACTTGAATTGAAACGCCAGTTGCGATCGACCACTTGAATTAACCGCCACTTGATTTACCTATTCCCCGTTACGCTACTCGAGATCTCCTCCAGTTAATGAGACGAACAATTAACATTTTGCTGATCGCTTACGAGCACAGTCGTACTCGGACCTGGACATTTTTCATGAATAATAATTTTTTAAATAATGGTATTCTAAACGCCGCTTTAATTCGTAGTTGTTTTCGTACTCGGGATCACTTTCATCACCTGTGACCATTCACGGATCTGAATACACGGGGCTCAAAATTTCAAGTCCAGTTTAGATCAGCTTGGAGTGGCCTACAGTCAATCCCATAAATATTCATATTCTCTACGTCTATTGAAGTTTGACTAAATAAAATAATAGTTTTGACATGTATATATTTATATGTATGTATGTGTTTATGTATATATCTATATGCATGTATATATTTATGTATATATTTATGTATATATTTATGTATATATTTATGTATATATTTATGTATATATTTACATGTATGTATATATTTATGTATATATTTATATGTACATCAACATATTTATACAAACATACACTTGGAAACATCAAACCTGCCATTTAATTTAAACAAGTTTCCTCAATAAGCATTGGGGGTACGAATATTTATGGAACTGACTGTATGTACAAAGTTGAATATCTTGGCCTTCTGTATACTCTAAATCGCTTGAAATTTTCAAGAATTATTATTACTGTCGTACACTTCAAGAAAATATAAAAGGGAGTCGAAAATTTCAAGATTTCTGACCGGTCGTGCCCTTTTTAACGGAAGGGCATCTAGCTGGCCAAAAACAAGGATGGAGAACGTTGCAAATAAAAAGTTGGCCACAAAGGAATATTTCTACCATCGTACCTTAAGAAAACGTAAAAAAAATTCGAAAATTTCAAAGTTTCTGAGTGATCGTGCCCCTTTAACAGAGGGGCAGCTCGTTGGTCGAGAGCAAGGGTCCAGAAGGTCGCGAATAAATAGTTAGTCACGGGCAGCTGTGACTTACAAGAATTCGAAAGGTCGAAGAGGCTTTGACTTATCCGGCGCTACCTTAACGCCTTCTGTATACTCTAAACCGCTACTGGCTGCTGCCACCTTTCCCGTCCTCTTTTCTTCGTTCGCGTCGTTCCTCTCTGACGACGAAGAAAACGAGGAGTTCGCGTGCATGTCTCGAAGCTATGCAACAAGGGGATCCAGGGAAGCTGGAAGGGAGGGATAAACCAATATACCGAGGCCGGTAGCGAAGACTGCGTGACACGTCCGATGCGTGCGTGTGCGTTGGCGCCAGGCCGCATTCTCGCATTCGTTAACCAACACATGGAGTTTTAGTCATTCCGCGCACCAGCTCGTGCCTTGTTACTCCCTTGCCCCAATCCCCCGCGATATTAAGAGCGGTCACGGATCCCAAATTTGCCACCCGCGGGGAGGCGGGGCACGCCGATTTGTCCTCGTTCCGTTTGCACGCCACCGGTACGTGGTAAAATGACCGGTTTCCACCGGCGCGCATCGCGTTTCGGAACAAAGCGGTTCTCGTGAAGAGAATCGTCATCCGCGTCCGCAGGCATGCCGTTCCCGCGAATCGAAACGCGTCGTCTTCGTCATCGACGATGATATAATTCCCGTGCGGGATATAGTTCGATTATCGCGCGTCAAACCTGTCCCCGGAACGCGCCGAAACGAACGATACGCGGAATGATGGATTCGCATAAAACAGTCGGATGGATGGAAGCCCTTTACGAGGTTGTTCTCCAGGGGCTGATAATTCTGCTGGTTTGCTTGCGTATTCAAATTGGTACCAATGAGTCACTTCGTGTTTTAATTATTAGATTGTTAGTATACGAGTTGATACGCGCGACTTGTAAGTCGTAGTTTAGAAGTCGTTGAAGATTGATGGATGTTTGAGCCATTTTTTTTTTACTAAAATTTCTCTTTATCCCACTGAAGATTTAAGTTTCGAAGCACTAAGATCTTGGCGCAGGAATGAATGATCTAGCTTGACCACTGGTATCACATGATATCCAGTTGGTAATGATTCTGTTCAACTATTTATAAAATAATAAATAATTAAAGCGAACAGGACGATCAGTGCAACGAAATTAAAGATACCAGTTATCAGTTACGAAACGCATAATCTTTCTTCCTTTTTTCTTCGTCGTTTCGTCCTACATTCCGCGTAACTTCTCGAAGTGTTCCCGTTCGTCTTTGTGGTCAAGGCAAGATCCATTTAACGTCTTCGGTTGATAGATCGAGCTCGACGCCGTCACGGCATCCGCGGAACAGTAATGATATGAAAATGATGTTGGTTAATGCTTGTGTCGAGGAAAGACAAGGTTTCTTCGTTACAACCATGCGTTTATTGTATACGCAGAACAATTTCAATTCTTGCAATCGAGGTACCCTTACTTTTAGTGATTAATAAATAAACAGTAGAAATTCTTCGTTTGTAAATTCTGGAAGCAGAAATTCTTCACTTTCTTTTTCTTTTAGTAGAGGGAGAGAGCCTTTCGAAAAGTTAGAAAACCACTAGGAGTAGCCTAGGACGAAACTTTTTGAAACACCACCTGTTCCCATTAAAGAACATCTTCCAAATCTTCTTAAAAGTGATTACGCACCGCATTTAAATAAGCCAATTATTATTTAGCAGTAACTAATTTCTGTGGCTAAAATTGTACTTTAAAAGTGTCGTTTAACGTATCGACGATGGTTCGAATCTTAGCGAAACATTTTACATTTAGAATGCAACGTTTTACTCGACTACGGCGACCAAGATTAATAATATTCACGGAGCATAAGTTCCTCAAGTATCCTTCTTCAATCGTCGCGGAAATCCGTGACTATATAAGACGCTTAGAATTCATAGACACCAGTCTGTGGTAACGTGGCGTACGGATCGTAAAATATCTGCTTTTGCTTCAATGAACCAAGAAGAATCGTCCGATCGTCGAGGTCGGTAATAAATCGATATCAGTTTACAACGGGCGAAAGGGAGCGTTGAAAGAGCATTTACGATTTCGATGATCCCATAACTAATGTCAGTCATAAAATTAACGAGTGAACCGAGTAAACTGCTTTTCGTCTCGCTCGCTCAAGCATTTCGATTTAATCGAACGCTGCGGTCAATCGGGGCACAATTCTGATTTATCTGGATGAAAAGTTGACCATTTTCTTTAATCAACAGCATTTAATTTGCGATTAATTAGATTTACAAAGACGCATTTTCCACTATATGTATCTTGCATTGTGAAAATCCAGGACACCACTTGTCTAACACTTTTCTGATCGATTACACAAAACATTGAATGAATTTTCCACGCCAATCAGATTCCTAAAGTGAAGAAAAACTCAGGTGCGTCCGGAATTCTGTCCCACAATAAACACGTTGCATTCGTCGTTCGAGGTGTGCAAAATTATTACACGTCTTCCCCCCACCTCCCGGCGACAATTGTTAAATAATCACGGAGATACGGTATGATGTGGATTTGCTTTCAAGGTATCAGTCGTTTACGAGGTCCGAGCGCCGCTCGAGCTAGCTACTGCACCAGAGGAAGAAGGATGACGACAGAGGACGGACAGAGAGAAATGCAGGGAAGGCAAGGATGGAGTAAGAGATGGAGAGTGAAAAAGAAAGACCCACGAGCGAATTATCTGGTAGTTTCTTTCAGCCAGCGGCCTAAGCAAAGGTCAAAAGTTGAGCAATGCTCTCCTTATCGGTGCAAACACCGTCTTCGCGTATGCAGTGCGCCGACACAAACCGATCGACTGACTTCTCTTCTGGTTGTCTCACGTGAAAACGTTCAGCACGGGTCGCCTTTGACAAAGGAAATCTCGTTACGCGCCACGGAAACGTCTCCTACGTCTTTGAAACTTCTTCAAGGTGCGCGTGACAAGAAACGTTGAGCCACTTTCGGGTCACAGTGTGACGTTTCTTGCTGGACTGTTCTTCGCGCTGCTCGATGGCGTGACGTTTATCACTGTAAGCAGTGAGTGCTTGAATGAGAGCATGGAGTGATTTTGACGATTTAGATGAGCTTATTTGTAGGAAACAGCGCAGGATAGATTGCGTCATTGGTTGGACCCGGTGCATGGAATTGTAATTCTAAATTGTAATTGTTCCGTTATGTTCGAGTTTCAAGTGAAACGTTTAAGATTTAATATGGTTATTTGAGAAAAACATTTTTTCGAAGTCGTCAGATTGATGGAATAATTTACAGGCATCATAACCAATAATTGTCTATACTATTTTGTCTATACTAGACAGGATAAACGAGACATAAACAAGTCGTATTATTTGCGGCGTTTTTCTGAGTTAGCAGATGTTAGTTGAACACGTTCACGCCGGCGTGTACCACCGGTGACTCGCGCTAGCGTGTTAAGGTTTGACGTCAATTTTTTCATTTATATTGTATAGACATAGGAAACTCTATCGACGGTAAGTACTCTTCAGAAATACCTTTTCCCGATGTCAAAAATATTTATGCTCGCTAGGTATAAGTTTCCCGCGGATCTGTATAGATATACTTTGTATAAATACTGTTTCTTAGATCCTCCAAAAGAAATCAGACGCCATAATGCGCGAATTTAGGGTCTGCGCATGCCATCTGAAAAAAATATTACAAAAAGCTCCGTTCACGGAATACTACCGTGTTGGCCTTTCGCCACTTCTACGATGCGTGCATTTCTTGTTTCAATATTGGTTCACCTTTTCGAGTCACGTTAAACCACTACAATAAGAAATATTAGTTAAAAACGTCGTTCAGAAATTTGTTCGCGGTAATATCGCATTCCGGGCCAGTGCGCGGCAGCGTCGACGGAAGCCGCACGACGAAGAAGCATCATCGCAGGGAGTGCGCGTGCTCGTTTCACGCGGCGCTTCCGGCTACCCAAGTCCGAGCGAAACAAGAGATAAATAGATCGACGGTCACCGATAAAAAAGAGCCGTATAGGAGGGAAAGAGCCGACGGAACGGGCAAAAGAGGAGAGACACCCAAGTACGCACATAATGTATGAGTCCTGAGAGGAGTCGGAGAGATCCCTCCCGGAGGCGCGGCGCCGCGCCGCGCCACGGCACGACGTTGCGACTATAAGTAAGTCTCGCGCGGCGCGCCGCGGTTTAATGCCGTTGCCGCGTTCGTGGCGCCAAGAGGAGGGCCCATTGGCGACGATAAGCCTCCTTCGTGTCCGGCACGGAACGAGAAAAAGAAAGAGAGAAAAACGGAGATAGACGGCAACAGCAGCCAGCTTTCACCCGCGTTTCAGCGGCGAATACATATATACCCCGTCCGGGGTGTGGATCGCGACAGTGTAGATAATACGCGGCTGTCAGTCGTGTCCGGCCAGTGTCACTCCGGAGTTAGTGTCGGTGGTACAGTGGATCGAGTGTATCTTTGCGTCGAGACTACCCGATCGCCAGCTCACCGCAGACTTCCAACCCCTCGTCTAGCTCGAACCTAGACGTTCGTAGCTGTTCTCCATTCCACGGTCTACGTAGACGACCAGTGGAAGGATTCCGTTAAAGTCCATCGGTGGGACGCTTCGATTTCGTTCGAGCAAACAGGACACTTTGTCGTCGAAGTGATTATTGTGTCGGATTGTGACTCGCGATAGGTAACAAGGGAAAGTCGGTGCACGTGTCTGTGTTTGCGATCCGGTGGGAAGCAGGTGGTTCGCAACCGAGGGGTTGCGATACAGTTCCTTGGACAGATAGCGCGCCAAACGCCTCGAGTGAGACGGTAGCACGAATTCATTTTAAAACTACCCGATCCAGAGGCAGGAAAGGAAGATACTTCGTCCGCCGAAGTGGTTGATCTACATCAGCCGTGACTCGAAATCTCAATCGAAACAGAACAGGTGCATGTGTCGACGGAAGAGATAGAGAGATCCGGTACAAGTTGGTCGGGTTCGTAATCGAGGGGATAGAATCACCCCTGACGCGGAGCACGGACCCTCCTGCTGGCCGTTTGGATGGTGATCGTCGAGGTCGTGTTTTGACGTTCCAGCGACCATGTCGGGTCTGTTTTACACGCTTCTGGGCCTGGCGGCCAGCACGAGCCTTCATTGCGCCGTCCGCAGGGAGATAAGCCCGTGCACCTGCAGGCAGGAGGAGTTCTCTAGTCCCGTTATCAACCCGGCGGCTGCCGCGGCCGCAGCCGCAGTCGCCAGCACCGGTAACAATGGCCATCACGGCCATGGAGAACGAATCGAGGTTGTATGTGAGCGCATGGATTCCTTCGAACAAGTGGCGGGGGCGTTAAGGGGGAAGTTCACCGCCGAGCAGCAAATCACCCTACGGGTCTCCCATTCGAATCTCAGGGATATAGCGCGGCACGATTTCAAAGAGCTGCGGATGTCCATCACCAGACTCGAGCTCAACCACGATCATCTAGGGTGAGTGTAAGTTCGCGTGGTCAAACGCCGCGAATTAACCCTCGGATGGCTGATTTCTGGCCTCATTCGAGACCCACCTGGTACCTCGATTCTATCGGGTTGTCCGGAAAGTTCATGCCTATTTTTAAGAAAAATTCAAAGGCATATATGAATTTTGATGTATATTAATATTGAATTGTATATGTACCATTTTGTTCCACACCTTTCCATCTCTTAAGGAATGTATACATTTTATTTGTTTTCAGCCATTCCGATATATTCAGACCTGTATCGTCTACTAAAAATTGGCATGGACTTTCCAGACAGCCCAGTATCATGGTTTTGATTAACACTAAATCTACCAATATTTTATTGCTACCTATTCCTACCTCGATCGGTTAAATCACTTATCTTACCTTCTTCAGTTGAATACGAAAATACTTCATTCGTTACTACATTGAATAATACACGAAACAATTAGGTCCA